TCGTTTCTGTAATTGGATAACTAGCACTGAAAATCGTCTTTACATTGGATGGTTTGGTGTTTTGATGATCCCGACTTTATTGACCGCAACTTCTGTATTTATTATTGCCTTCATTGCTGCTCCACCAGTAGATATTGATGGTATTCGTGAACCTGTTTCTGGATCTCTGCTTTACGGAAACAATATTATTTCAGGTGGCATTATTCCAACTTCTGCAGCTATAGGATTACATTTTTACCCAATATGGGAAGCGGCATCCATTGATGAATGGTTATATAATGGTGGTCCTTATGAACTAATTGTTCTACACTTCTTACTTGGTGTAGCTTCTTATATGGGGCGTGAGTGGGAACTTAGTTTTCGTTTGGGTATGCGCCCTTGGATTGCGGTTGCATACTCCGCTCCGGTCGCAGCTGCTACCGCAGTTTTCTTAATCTATCCAATTGGTCAGGGAAGTTTTTCTGATGGTATGCCCCTAGGAATCTCTGGGACTTTCAATTTCATGATTGTATTTCAGGCTGAGCACAATATTCTTATGCACCCATTTCATATGTTAGGCGTAGCTGGTGTATTTGGCGGTTCCCTATTCAGTGCTATGCATGGTTCCTTGGTAACTTCTAGTTTGATCAGGGAAACCACAGAAAATGAATCGGCTAATGAAGGTTACCGATTTGGCCAAGAGGAAGAAACTTATAATATAGTAGCCGCTCATGGTTATTTTGGACGATTAATTTTCCAATATGCTAGTTTCAATAATTCTCGTTCATTACACTTCTTTTTAGCTGCTTGGCCTGTAGTAGGTATTTGGTTCACTGCTTTAGGTATCAGCACTATGGCATTCAATTTAAATGGGTTCAATTTTAATCAATCCGTAGTTGATAGCCAGGGCCGGGTAATTAATACTTGGGCTGATATAATTAATCGTGCTAACCTAGGTATGGAAGTTATGCATGAACGTAATGCTCACAACTTCCCTCTAGACCTAGCTGCTATCCAAGTTATAGCTACAAATGGCTAGAGACTTTGTCTCTTAGTATATAGATAGGGAATCTATTTAAAATAGAATAAAGGAGCAATTCCGCCTTCTTGTCTAGAACAAGAAAGTGGTTATTGCTCCTTTATTGATTCCTTTTTGAAAAGAACATATTTTAGTTGGGGGCGGATGTAGCCAAGTGGATTAAGGCGGTGGATTGTGAATCCACTATGCGCGGGTTCAATTCCCGTCGTTCGCCCATCACTCTAATTTCCGTTTCGATAAATTCTATAAATGGGTAAAAGATATGAGTGAAAGTAAATAACATGCCGCTATGGTGAAATTGGTAGACACGCTGCTCTTAGGAAGCAGTGCTAGCGCATCTCGGTTCGAGTCCGAGTAGCGGCATAAAAAATAAGAGTAATCTTTTGTTCTTTTTCATTTTTTTTCTTATCTAATTCAGAGTTAAAATCTTATTTTATTTTTTTTAATAATTTTTATGATAGTTTCAACCTTAGAACATATACTAAGTAATATTTCACTTTCAATAATACTCGTTTCAATTTTAATTAAAATTTATTTGAGAATCTTTTTCGTCGATGAAAACATAAAACTTTCTAATTCATCAGAAAAGTGCATTTTCATAACTTTTTTATGTATAACAGGATTATTAGCTACTCATTGGATTTCGTCAGGCCATTTCCCACTAAGTGATTTATCGGAATCTTTGCTTTTTCTTTCCTGGAGTTTTGCTCTTATTAATAGCCTTTCCTATTTAAAAAAAAATACAAAATTATTAAGTACAATAATAAGCCCAATTGATTTTTCTATCCAGGCTTTTGCTACTTCGGGTCTTTTCACAGAAATTAAGAAATATTCAATATTAGTCCCCGCTCTTCAATCTCAGTGGTTAATAATGCACGTAAGTATGATGATAGTGGGTTACGCAGCTCTTATATGTGGCTCCTTATTATCAGTAGCACTTATGGTCATTACCTTTAGAAAAAATGAAAATATTTTTCAAATGAATTATATTTTTTCGGCTAACAATTTTTATAAGATTCAATTAAGTAAAGAATTAGATTATTGGAGTTATCGAGTTATTAGTTTAGGGTTTATCTTTTTAACCATAGGAATACTTTCGGGGGCTTTGTGGGCGAACGAAGCGTGGGGATCTTATTGGAGTTGGGATCCAAAAGAGACTTGGGCTTTTATTACTTGGATAGTGTTTTCAATTTATTTACATACTCGAAGAAATAGAACTTTTGAAGGTGCTACTTCGGCAATTGTGGCATCTATAGGTTTTCTTATTATTTGGATATGCTATTTTGGAGTCAATTTAATTGGATTAGGTCTACATACTTATGGTTCATTTTCGCGAACATAAAAAAGATTTTATTCTTTAATATTTGAATCTTTGGAATAAATAAAAAAAAAAGACATTAATTTTTTACTTCGTGAAAAGCTAAAAATTTATGAAACCCGTGCTACAAAATATGAAATATTTTTATTTTAGAGCACGGGTTTTCAATAAAAATAGAATGAATTCAAATATACTTTTCTGGACCAGATCAATAAGCGAGACCCATACTGCGAGTTGTTTCATGCCATAAATAAACTCGAACACTCAAGAAATCTGTTGGGCAAGCGGATTCACACCTCTTACAGCCTACGCAATCTTCTGTTCTCGGAGCAGAAGCAATTTGTTTAGCCTTACATCCGTCCCATGGTATCATTTCTAAAACATCGGTGGGGCAGGCTCGAACACATTGAGTACATCCTATACATGTATCATAAATCTTTACAGAATGTGCCATTGAACGAATAAATTTATAAATTTTATGAATTATCGATATAGTATCCTCCAAATATTATTTTTATGCAATATAAAATTAGAAGATACTTGGTTTTTAGATACTATATGACTCAATGAATTTTCAGAAGAATTCTAATCACTAGATTTCTGGATTGGTTTTAAAAATAAAAAAAAAATTATTTTATGTTTTTTGGTAAATTATTATCAATTTTTATGTTTTAATATTATCATTTTTTTTATAACTACGCAAACTACCTAATAGGGTAAAAAAGGATTCTTTTTTGAATTAACTAAATCTGCCGTTTTAAAGTTTTAAATAAAAAATCCCTTCAAATTTATACAGTAAGAATCAATAGACAAAAGGACATGATGTCTTTCTATTCACTACCCTGAGCTATTCTTTTGTAATTGTTTCAGTACCCAGACTGTAGTTCTAAAATTTACGTATAAAATAGGTTCTAAAAGCTATACAACTTCAAAATGAATGAGTTTTTGTCTCTCTAATCTCCAATTTATCAATTAATTCTTTATAGCGCAATGTATTTTTTTTTGATAAATAAGCTAAAAGTCGTTGTCGTTTCCCCAAAATTTTACGTAAACCTTTTTGAGATAAATAGTCTTTTTTATGCAATTTCAAGTGGGAAGTAAGCCGGTGTATTCTATTGGTGAAATTCCATATTTGAAATTCAACGGAACCTCTGTTTTGTTGGTTTTGGTTTTTATAAATAGTCGAAAGAGATAAGTTTTTTATCATAAACTAAATGAACTCCCTTCATTGATATATAATATGCATTTAAAATAATTTTTTATAATTAAGTTATAGATTTATTTCATAGATATGAAATAATTGATTAGTAACTAAAACGAACTAACGAAAAATAAAGAAAGAAAATGATAAGAAAAAAGAAGAAATATTATACAAGAAATCAACTTGACAGAAATGAATCCAATGTTTTTTTATTTTTTTTGTAAAAAAAAACTTGTAAACTTACCCGTTAAAAGAGATTTTGCTAATGAAAGAGCTTTTAATCTTACCTCAATAGTCTTTCTTTTCCAAATGTTCTTACGAATACGCTTTTTGGCTTTCGAAATACGTTTTTTTGGAACTGCCATTTAAAATGATTTACAGGTTATCACTGGATGTGAAAGACATTTATTGCTAAAAAAGAATTCTTCTAACTAAGTCTATCAATTCAAATCAAAAGAAAACCCTCTCTTTTCGGGTTCATTAATAAAATAAAAGTGAATTATTTCAACTTAATATTCTTTGGATGAGGGAGAAAGTATCTATATAGATCTAAATAAATATATGGTATCCTCGATTCAGTTAGATACAAATTAAAATAAGGTATATTTCCATTCATTGCTTTTCATCTAACCTGGTACCATCTACCCTGCTAGAGGGTAGATAGTACTACTATCAATTAAATTTCCACCAATTAAATTTCAATGGTAAATACATATGGATCCTTAACATACTGAAACGACTCCCATTATTAGTATTAAACCAATAACGATTCATACAAGCTAAATCTTCCAATCGATAATTAGGCCAAAGAAAAAATTCAATCAATTTATTCGGATCCTTATGCCGAGGGTTACTTTCCTCCCAAACTTGATTTTTGTTGGAAACTAGAGAATTTGCATCCACGCCATTCCATTTGTTTGAATTGAAACAAATTAGAGTTCTTAATTCTCTACGACGCCTAGATGATAAAATATTTTCAATAAGAAGCGGATCACAATTATTGTTCTCTTCAGCGCGAATTATTCGTTGTTTTACGTATTTTTGATTAAGAATTTCTTTACTCTTATGAACCAATGAAAGAACTATGGTTTGATACATAAGAAATTCTCCGTTTGGTTTGATAGACAGCGGAAGGGGGTCAACCAAAAATCCCGTCCTTTTTAAAAATTCTGGAACACTCTCTTTTGAATCCGCAACACTCTGTTTTGAATCTCGAACATTTCTTTTTGAATTTTTTGAATCTGGAACACTCTGTTTTGAATCTGGAACACTCTGTTTTGAATCTGGAACATTTCTTTTTGAATTTTTTGAATCTTGAATACTCTCTTCCTGATTCATCTGTGGCATTAGACCCAAATTTAACTTTTCCCTTTGAATCCATGATAGCATCATTTTTTTTCGATTTAGCATTCTAAGCAAGAGACAATAGATCTGGAGATCTTGGAAAAGGCCTTGATTAAAAGTAACATCCTCATCCTCTCTAAATTGAAAAAATAAATAATTTTTCAGGAATAACTCTAGTTCTATCTCAGTTTGACTTTTCTTTTCACCTTCAGTTTCCCCTTCAGTTTCCCCCTGGGTTTCCCCTTCAGTTTCACCTTTGGTTTCACCTTCAGTTTTCCCTTTGGTTTCACCTTTGGTTTCACCTTTGGTTTCACCTTTGGTTTCACCTTTAGTTTCCCCTTTGGTTTGACCCTCGGCTTTATCTTTTTTTTTACTCTCAGTTTTACCTTTGGTTTCACACCTCAGTTTTCTTTTTATCCTTTTTATCTTTGTTTTTATTCTTAATTTTACCGATCTTTTGATTCGTCATTTCATCATTGAGATTCAAATTAGAAATAAGTGATTGGCTTGGTATAATCCATGGTTTCATTTTATATATATTAACAAACCACAGAAATTCTGGGAAGACCGAAAGTTCCTCAGCCGTTAATGGACGGTCGAGTATTGCTTCATTCAGTCCCATCCAATCCAATAAAGAATTTTTAGAATTTACTAGATTCCTTTCTTCGGTATTTGTCTGAATCAAAAGAGCAAAAGGATCTTTTTCATTTTTAAAAATTTGCTCAATTTTCACAATCTCTTCCATTCTATCAATTAATTGATAATTATAAGTGAAAATTGGAGTACTTTGAGTATTGTTATCATTACCCGTGATCCAGGACTCAATATCCGCTTTTTTATCAAGAGAAAAATTAATCTTTTTCAAATTTAAATATTTTCTCTCTAAATTTTTGTCTGTATAGGGGATATTGACCCTTTCTATTTTTTCTCTGAAACTAGTGATAGGAAGATTTTTCGTTATCGCAAACAAGTTGTTTTGTGACATCTTGTAATGATAAGAAATCGTTTCCCGTTTAGCTCCTGGAGGGGGTCCACTATTTTTTTCATACTGAATGTATTGATATGCTAAAAGATCATATTGACAGCATTTTTTAAAATTATCTTTTTTTTTTTTATTAAATACTGAGTTAGCATCCTTTTGTTTCCTGTAATTATTTAATTTTAATTTTCTACTGGAATTCCTTTTGTGTAAATCTTTTTGTTTAGACCTACGATAGCGATTCGCCCTATTTCTCCATTTTTGTTTTTGTGATCTTAAGGCAGACCAGAAATTAGGAGATAAATCGTATTGAGAATTCCCTCTTAACCAAAATTTCCATTGACTCGTTCTAGACCGCTTAAGTTCTTTTTTTATTCCTTCAGATTGAAGTATTCCTTGTTTATGAAATGAGTCTTTTATTTTTTTTTTAATAAAGAAATTCTTTTCAATCAAGAAAGATGTTCCATTTTGTTGAAGAACAGACATCAAATTAGATACGTTCAAAAAACTCCTTTGTGATATTTTGTACAATACATATGCTTGTGACAAGTTAGATAAATCACCAAAATTCTCTGGCTTTTCCTTATAACGCTTATTATTATGCGTTTTTATATTTGAAAGAGAGTTCATTTTTGTTGATTCCACAAAGAGTTTTTCAGTCATTTGGCAAATAGATATAGTATATAAAAAAATATAGTTAGATATTCTTTGAATCAATAATTTTATAAAATAATGAAATTTATATCTTAATCTATTTTTTTTTATTTTTAACATTTGACAAAAATTTTTTGACAAGGCTAATCTCGAACTTTTTTTGTAAGGGCTCATATCTAGTTCTAGAGTCAGCCTTTTCTTATCTTCCGTAATTCTTTCTAGTTTTTTTTTAATTGTATTTGTCCTATGAGTAATAGCCTGTATTTTGTCTATCGGTGAATAATTTTTCCAATCTGTAATTTTTTCAATTTTACTCAAGGGTTGATTCATTATCTGGTTATTTATTTGATCATCTTTTTCTTTTTTTATTAAACTCGGGTGTATTGTTCTTTTTTCGTTTGAACTTGTTTTTTTTTTTGAAAACTTTTTTAAAAATTTGATTTTTACTTTTACAAATTTGTAAAGTTCCTTAAAAACAGGCTCGAAAAACGAAGGTGTTTGTCGTGGATGACCAAAAGGGTGTTCTGTTTCCCTTCCCCAAACTGTTAAAAAACAAAAGTCATCACGAGAAGTTAGTGATTTATATTCGTGCCAAGGTTTTAGACAGAAAGGAAATAAAATTTTGATTTGAATACCTTCTGTCAACCAATTTTCCGGAAATTTTTTGTCAGCTAACGGAATACCATTATAAGTACACTTCACATGCGTTTCTTTATTCCATCCCTTTAAATCTTCAGACCATTCAGGAGTTTGAAATAGTAGCATACGCCCTATATTTTTCCCGATTATGAATGAAGGTAATAGAATTTTTTTTCTCAGAATTGATTGGGTTATTAATAACAAACCTCTTATTATTTGGGTATATGGGAAAGTTTCCCAGGCTTCCCCTATCTCTAACCGTTCTATTTCCTCTCGTCGTTTCTTTTCCTTTTTGGTTTCTCTTTTTATTATTGTTTTTTTTTCCTCTGTAGACTCTAAAATACCGAACTCGTTTCTGGATGACCATTTTATAAAAAGTCGTTTCAGTTGAGCCAGGTATGGTATAGAAAAAAAGGTTTTTTTCCTCATCCTGTCAAAAAAGAGAGGGGAATGCGCATTTGCTTTAAAAAGTCCCTCAATAACTATTTTACGTCTTTGAGTTCGCATAGAGTCTTTTATTAAGCCTTGGCGAAAATCAGATTGGTGCGGATATCGTAACAAATAAAGCTTATTATCCTCATCTTCCTTTTTCTTTTTCATATTTTTATCTTTCTCATCATTGTCGGATTTTATAGCTTGAATATTTGTCTCTTTTGTATTCTTATCTTTGTTTGTAGTCTTATCTTTGAGAGTCTTAGGCTCTTCAAAAATTAATACACTTATCCCTTTTCTTGAACGAATATCATGATCATCTGGTGGATTTCTAAAATACGATATTTGTTCCAATTCAGTTATTAATTTGTATGACCATCCGGGGACTTTTTTACCAATCTCTTCTTTACCTATTTTTTCTATTGCAGAATATTTTTTATCGTCTGTCTCAATTACATTTACTAAAAATTTTGTTAGTTGTTCTGAATCCGTTAAATTGAAACTCGATGATAAAGTTGAGAACTCACCAACTTGTAATGGTTTTTTTTCCTTTTTTTCAAAAGGAGACATCAACAATAAAGCATGAAGTCTATTTAGCATAACCTTCTCTCTCAACTTTTTGATCGAAGTCTCGTTTATCAACGTTATATCTTTTTTTAGTCTTCCGCGGGAAGGCCCATTTAACAAGGGATCATACTCTTCTGGTAAGTATTCTTTTCTAGTCTCATCATTGTGTATACATAATCGCGTTTTGGTTGTTTCAATTTCTAGTATTGGGACTGATACTGGTTTGTCAAGATTTTTAATTCGATTTAACAAATCAATTTTTATAGAATTTAATTTTTGTTTGTTTCTAGAAACCCAAAAATTGTCCAATTTATTAGAAATATCTTTTTCTAATGATAAAAGGGGTATCTTTTTTTTGATTATTTGAAAAAACGTTGATAAACTTATCGGATGGGTAAAAGATATTCTATCTTTTCCATCACTTTTATGTATGTCAAAGAAATATTGTGCCATTTCGTTTCTTACCGCTTGTTCAAGTCTATTATTTTTTATGTAGCGAAATGGCCGAGTCCATCTTTTATAATCAAAAAGAAGAGCCACAATATGTTCTTTATTTTCATATTTTTCAAGGATTTCCAATTCAGAATCAGATCCTTCCAAGTCCGGTTCGTTTACTTTCAAGTCCAATTCTTTTTCCAAAATACCCTTTTCTTCGGAAAAAAGGGAAGGATCTTCTTCAGTGGATTTCTTTTTTTTTTCTACGTCTTTTTCTTCCTCCTTTTGCAACCTTTCCTTTTCCCTTTGTTCTATTTTTGAGACCTCACTAAATTTCTGAGTAGGAATAGGTAAGGGTGTTCTGCCTAAAGACTGAATACTTAGAATACATACTATACTTCCAAAACTACAATTTAGTAAAATAAAAAAGATAGAATTTCTGACTAGGTACTTTCTAATAACATTATTTTTATGTATCCAGATTACTAAATTTTTCTGTATCCAGACTACTAAAAATTCCAAGCAATTGATGACTAAAATTTGTCCAATTCCCCAAGCAAAAAAAACTGCTTATTACAAACAACATCTTATTGTTACAGCGAAACAGATAAATGCTTACTAATCGGGCTAACGTTGAACTTGGTAAAATACAAATGTTAAGCAACTGAAAAATAAGATGATTGAGGAATACAAAGATATTCTCTAGATCACGGATTGAATTTTGGTTATTAGATCCATAAGCAAAAATTTTTTTTTCAGTGTTCAAGAAAAGCTGAATCAAAAGATAAGGTAAAGCAAGGACAGTTATTGTATGAGGTCTACCCAAAGCTAGATAAAGGGGCGCATAATAGATGGATACGAATCTTATGAGCTGTCCCATAAAAAAACCAGTGGTTGCTGCTACCTTCTTATTTGTATTTGGTTCTTTTTCCATAACCATAGTTCGCACAAAAAAGAAATAAGAGGACCTTATTGAAAATGTGGTAAGAAATCCATAATACAGTCCGACTACAACAACAGAATTGAGTACCTTCAAAAAGAAATCAGAACCTATAATCATAAAATTCTCCTTTATTTTTTTTTTTTTAACTTGTTTTCCTATAATTTTTCTATTATTTTTCTATAATAGAAAACAATAAACTAGTAGATTTGCCTTCACATCTTATACTATGATATTTTACTATCATTTTTTGATTATGATCGTCTATTTTGATATTTGACGTCTATTATGATATTTAATTAGGATCGTCTATTATGATATTTAATTAGGATCGTCTATTATGATATTTTACTATCATTTTTTTTTCTATTCTACTATATGGAATTCCAATGTTTGGAATTCAAAATAGGTTTTATTTTTCAATTGAGGAAACCTTAGAACAAGAAGTCGTAGGAGTGCTTTCCATAAAAATA